AAAAACTAGAGAAAAATTCACAGCACTGAATCCTCACAAATACAAATGGTCAGCTACTTGGTGCTTCCAAAACACAGGCAAATGATGTATAAATATGTGGTGACAACACTTGGTTTCAACATGATTACTGATTTACACTTAAATACCGCTGAAAAACAAACCAACAAAAAAATACTGAAATAATATAGTTTTGATTTTCTGAAAAGTCATCCTTTTAGGTGACCTTGTGATACTGAGTCCAGCAGATGTGAGTTGCCACTTCAGAAATTTCTCTCATTTACTCTTAAATAGAAGACTTTCTTTTCTTTTTTTTTTTTTTTCCTGTATACTTCTCATTAAATTTTGTATCTGAAGTGATCAAGGAACTTGATTAGGTATTTCAGATCATTTGGTCAGAAACTTCCATTCTAATTATTTCACCTACAATATAATTCAAACCGGCAAAACACTTGCAGAAGTATAGACAGATCTATTTCAATGAGTTACCACCTTTTAAGAAAACACAAGGTTGCTCAGTGATGATGATTGCTCAGTGGATAAAGGAAATGAGTTTAGAGGGGTCAAGTCCAGACAGAGAAAAAGCAACTGCATCATTAAAAAACACCATCATAGTTAATTCCTGGTAATGGCTACAAGTAATGACAGTACATAGCACTGAATGACGCAGGTGAGAGGATATTCTCTGTAAGTCATAATTGCCTAAGATGAGCTGTTCAGTCATTTGTACTTATTTAGGACAGTCTGTACTGCCCCTTCCAGGGCACCATAAACATTTTGCTAAAGCTGTCAGTGAGAATCTACCATGCATCCTGGCTGAAGGGCAGTGAAATGAAGGGAAAAAGGACACTTAATACCAAGCTCTTTTCTTGAGCTATGCAGTTCCTCCTGGGAGCAGTACATACCTGTGTATGCAAACATGGATTTGCCTGGTGCTCTAAATATCCATTTTTCAGCAAGATCTTAATTAAGTAAAAAGCATTTAAAAAGGAGAAATGCTCCTTTGGCAGACTAGTTCAGCTTGTAATAAAACCACTTCAAGTATCCTATAAATTATTCTGCTGCTAGAACTATCTATACAAACTACCTGCAGGTCAACTCAAACACGTTCCAAGGAAAGGGATCACTGAATTAAATATATTTGGGTTTCACCTACCTCATATTAGCCTACTTAGCCTATTTTCAAGATTATTTGTTGTGAAAAATATTCACTTTGCCTGTACTTATCACAGATAATTTTCAATTGTCTCCATTCTGGTATTTATTTCTTCACAGAGGTCCTCAAAACAACATTCAGTTTGATTTCCATGCTTTCAATCACTCATCATCTAAATACCCAAAAGATTTGCGACTTGTTTGGGACACTCTTATTTCAAAGTGCAAGTGCATGCAACAGGAACAATGTCTAATATGAGTTGGAAGCATTTATTGCTACTGCTGCACACGAAGAACTCTGCATGAATCAATACTACAGAACCCTCAAACCATTAGACCCTTTGACTCTCTGTGCAGAGAAATATATGTGTGAAAATGCCAAAACAATCTAGCTTCTCTGATTCTGAGGCACCTGACCATAAGATGCAAAAGCCTGAGAGTACCAGGGGACTAAAATCTTCCTGCCACCATGGATTTTCAGAGCTCTTTTGGAAAATATTTCTAGGGCAATGCAGACACCTACCAGCATGGAAGTGCTGCTGCACTTAGAAAATTCGTCCCGTCTATAATTTCCTAGGACAAACACCGGACATACTCACTTTGCAACCCACTGAACTCCCTATGCAGTGGATAGGGATCACAAAGAGAGCTGCACTAAATTGATTTGGCTCTGCTGCTCAGTATGAAGGAGTGGTGTGGTAGAGAAATTTTGCTGAGTTCCATAAAATTACATCCACAGGAGGAGGGCTAAGTACAACTCTCCTAACAGCAGGAGATAGTCATGCCACTCCTTTCAGAAAAACTGAACAGAAATTCTACCTGAACATATTCATTACAATTGGTAGAAGCATTTTAATCCCAGCCGTCTCCTTTAGGATCTTCTCCTTGCTGCTTCGAAGCAGCCATAATTTTATTCACTTATTTTAGAAACTGCTGCCCTAGGAATGAGATCTAGTGATGCAATTCTGCCCTGGGGAGAGCCAGGTGCTTTGCTTTGCTGCTTGTCTCAAAAAGTAGTACCCTGAAATAGAGCACACTTATGTTGGATTAATGCAATCAAAGGCACCCTGCTGTCTGGTCACTGACCTATCTGTAAACAGCAGATGACATGATGCCATAAGCTTCTATTAGATATAATTACCTGTTGAGATGTGACCACTGTAAAAGAAACAAAACCAAGCATCTCACCTGCTGTTAGCTTATTTTCCAGAGCTGAACAATGCCTATAAGCACCATTTTTGACTGCTCATCTCCCTTCACTGTTCCTCATATCTCTTCCAAGCAGATTTTTTGTCTTCTCCCTTACATCTGGAACAACCCTCCCAGCTACACTGGGCAAGGTCCAACTCTTCTTTATTCTCACTGTAGATCCCTTTTATATCCCTCTTCTTTCATTCAACCTTTTTATGCCACAACTTCCTCTCCTCTGCCTTCACCACAGAGAAAATGCCTGTTAGCTGAATGTGTGTCACCTGCCCTGGATTCTGCCCACTGCTACAGAGACCACAGGGACAGATTCTCACCTGATGTAAAGCAGTGCAGGTCTGCTGGAGTGCACAATCATGAGCCATAGAGAAAGTGGTGAATGTTGTTCACTGATTTCCAATGACAGAGTAGGAGATTGGAGTCAAACTGATACCTGCTGGCTCAAAACCAACAGAAAGCAGCTTTCACAGCCTGCACAGCACAGTTGTGGAGCTCCTTGCTACTGGACACAGCCAGTGGAGCAACCGGACACCTTCATGAAAGAGTAACAGCACAATCCACTGAGAATCATGAGATACAAAGAAGCTCCCTCTGGTTCAGAAACTCACTGAACCTTGAGTCCTTGAAAACTGGGAAAGTGCTCTGGCAGTACAGCTGTATACCCACAACCCAGTGAAAGAGTTCTGGAATGAATCATAGAATTGTTTGAATTAAAAGGGACCCTTAAAGGCCATCTAGTCCAACTCGCCTGCAATGAACCTACAGCTAGATCAGAATGCTCAGAACCTGATCCAGCCTGACTTTGAATGTCTCCAGGAATGGCGCAGGCACTTCTCTGGGCAACCTGCACTGTAAAAAACTAATGATGCTACTTCACACCCGCTGAAGACACAGCATCCTATTTCAAATGCACATCCACATCCACATGCAGGAAACGTGTCCATGTTTGCAACATTCTATAGGAGTAACAGCAGAGATAACCTCTAATTGCCACCAGCAGTTAGCTGCTACAGTCCTGTCAAGTACAAAAGTAGCTGCTGCTACAAGTCTGTAGCTAAGTGCACATTTATCTCTCATGTTCATCACTAACACAGAAGCCACTGGGACATGATATTCATGCAGATGTTCCCCACCCCCCCAAAAAAAAAAAAGTCTTCATAACAATACCTAGCAATGAAACAGAAGCCAGCTGACAGTGACACTGCCAATTATGAGCAGCTTATTTGTTTTGGATTTGTTTCAGTTATCAAACTGAAAGTCTATATTGTCAAAACAGACAAAAACTGCTTTCTCTTTTCCATCTTACTCCTGTCAGAAGTCTGATGCAAGTCCCTTACAGAAGCACAACCCAGCTCTACTAGCATCACCTCACTTTTTCTGCTTTTATTTACAAATTCTCATGAGCGCCACACTAAATACCCCAAGACTGAAATATACACAGGTTAAGACAAACATTATCCAAGTCATTGCTTCATGTTGAACAGTTTCAATTGTGTAACGCCACAACAGCAAGCACTTGTATTAATCATTGAAGAACAGCTCACATACAAACAAAAGTATTTGACGTCATCACCTGCCTCTCGATATAAACACAACTAGGCAACAAAATCTTACAATGAACCAGCTTTTTACCAGATCAAGTTCAGTGTTTACATAAAGGATTTCCTTTAGATTGCAGTTCTCTGACTTCCAAAGAGCACCCTGCCTTGAAAACGTTTCAGGCAACGTGGATAAAAGCTTATTGTCTAAGACAGCGTTAAGAAAAAAAGCCAGCAATCCAAAATGTGTGCCTGTAGACTCAAGGCTGTTTCGACTTCTTCTACGAATCAACCGAGCCCAAGTTCTCCCACCACCACCCAAGTCCACAGCTTTCCAACCCCCATACTCTCCTTTCTGCTGGTAGCACTCCCTGAGACAGTTTTAGACGTCTTCTCCAGCTGTCCCTTAGGAGTGACTGTGAACGAGCAATGAATTGAGATGATAGTAAAATCGCGCGTTTAGGCACCAGATTTTTTTTGTGAATGAACACAGCTCAGATCAATCTCTACTTAACTAAGCACGGTTCTGATTTAAGAATTGACTTTGGGGGTTTCATCACTGTCTAGCAGAGAGCACTGCTTTTGTTAATGCTGAACTGAAAGATTTGGAAGAGATTTAAAGGGATACAAACAAGAAGCAATAGATAATCACCGAGCCCTGCAGACAGCGGCCCCTGGTCGTGGGTGCGGCGCGGCTGAGCGGATCAGCCAGCGACTATTTGCGAGCGCGTTTCATCAAACGGCGAAAACAAACAGGACTCGGCAGCCGTGGCTCAGCGCCGTTGAGTGACTCAGACTGTTCAACAACCCCACACCTGTTGAGGATCCCGGCCCAGCATTTCGGCTATTCACCCGAGTTAGCTCCCCGCTGCCCGCCGGCTACGCGCACGACGCTGACAGCCCCAGCCGGCTCTCCGCCGCCCGGCTCGCGTCCGCCCAGCCCCGCTCCCCAGAGCCGGCGGCCGCGCGGGTGCCACCCACAAGCGCTGCGGCGGCTCCAGACACCGTCTCGCCCCGGCCCCCGCCCGCCCCGCAGGCACCGAGCCCACCGGCGGCGGCGGGAGAGCCCGGCTCTGCTCGCTGCTGGCGGCCGCGGGCACTCACATGGCTCCCGACCGCCGCTGCCTCCGCTCCCGCAAAGATGGCTTTCCGGCCCCGCTCCGGCTGCCAGCGGTCTCTCAGCGTTGTAGGCACTGTTGCCGAGAGAGGAGGGGTAGGCACCAGCTACTGAGCATGTCTGTGCCTCACATCACGGAGTAGGACGTCGGCACAGAGGTACCCCCTCCCCACCTCACGGCAGGCAGCAGAAAGTCCTGGAGTGACTCATGGAAACGCAGCCGCCGCTCCGCCCGCACCGCCTCTCCGCGGGGAACAGCTGGAGCCTGGGGTGCGGCTCCATGGCTGGGCTCGCTCCGACGGCAGGTGTGAGGAGGTTGCCTTTGTCTGTGCCACCTTCTTCCTTCCTCCCCTTTCTAGAAACAAAACAAAGCAAAACAGCGGAGAGGTATTGCAGTTAGGTCCACGCTGTCATGAGTGAGTGCTTGTGAACAAACAGCAGGGTTGTAATCGCTTCTCATAGTGTACAGCAAAACCAGAGGCAGGTGAGCTACTGGATCGACCATTATTTTCTAACTGTGATCTTCGAAATGAAGTATATCAGCTGCCAAGCCCATGTGCTTCTGGCTTGGGTTTCTTTCAGCCTTTGACTCCCACTAAACCTAGGTTGGGGCAGCCACTCTCTACTTTGAATCTCCTTCATTAAAATCAGCATTTCTTTAGCTCCCTCGCACAGCCAAACTTCCACTGAAGCAGAATATGCTCCTGTGCACTTGAACCATGGCCATACCTGACATAAAGGCCAAAGAGGACGAAAGATAACGCAGCTTTTAAAAGAAGTGGGAACTTAGCCTTGCTGTCCCCACTGGTGGTTTGTTCTGCTTTACTTGTGGAAGCACCACACCAGACACCACCGCCAGACACTTCACAAACTTTCCATTTCAGCGAGAGCTACTGTGAGCCTTTAGAAACAGGCATAAGCCAAGTAAGGTAATGGCTTACCTAGAGAGCACTGAGGAGCTTTGTACATATCTAGACCCCAGATCTTGGGGTGCCTGCTGGGGATAAAGTACAACAGCATCATCAGATTAAATCTGTGTTCTCCACATGTTTGAAGCCAAGGACAAGATGACCTGTTCCTCTAAACAACAGGCAAGTGCTGAGGTGGAGGGCAAAGTGTCAGTCTCAGTTCCTAAGCTCGCTATCAACAAGTAAAAGATTTTCATGGGAAGAAGGAAAATAACCGGGGAATATGAGAACACCCATAGGAGCAATACACAGCCCAGATATTGGGATGCTCAGCTGTTCCTAAGTCAAAGTCCAGGTCACTAGTTTCATTCCAACCCTTGATTTCATTTCCCCCACCCCCTTTTCTCCCTCCCCCTCCACCCCCCGAAGAAAACTCTCATTTGGACTATTCCTTCTTCCACAAGTAGTTTCACATGAAAAAGGTTGCAGAAACTGGATTGTGCTCAGGGCAGAGATTAGTGAGTAAGACCACTTCCAAGACAAACACTAATTAAGTAACATGTTAGAAGTGGTTGGAGAGGTAAGCTAAAGTCTATAAAGAGCAACACTTCCATCTTCTAGGACACAAAGATGTTACGCTCCTGCATTTATGATGACCACTGATGGACAATCATCACCTCCATAACTGTGCAAATGATGACTTCATTCTCAGACTGTATTTACTTACTGCCAGGAAAAGAGAATAGGGCTTTGGAAAGAGATACACAATTAGGTAGACAAAATTTAATCAGCCTCTGTTTTGTGAACTGTTAGTAGTTGAGCTAGTGTATCTCAAGTGTTTTTCAGTTTTTCTATTGTTCTGCCCTTAATGATGTTAGAATTAACTTGATCCACATCTGGTACAAGCACACAACTTTATTTCTGTCAAATTATCCTAAGCACATGAGCACAAAGGTAAAAGGGCAGAGAGAGATTGTCTGCTTTAGCAGAAAGTGTGTCAGTACAGGGAGAGTGCCTCAAACCTTGCTAACCCTGCACCAGCAGAGTGAGGTTGATCTAGGTCAGTGTGCCACATCACATGCCACAGCTTGTTTCAGTCCTGCAGGGGAGAGCCCTTAAAACCAATTGAGGTGCATCACTGTACTGTGGCTTTATTTTCAAATGAAGAAATTCCCACTAGCAAAGGCATCACCATTTTACCCCAAGCAGGCTTGTGATCCTGAAGACAATCTGCTGCTAAGAGGGAGTTATCTCCCTTTAACCCTCCACCCCCTTGAAAGAGACCACGGGTTGGTGTTGAAGGCTGCCAAAGCCTTCAGTGTTTGAGGAGATGCAGAGACACCCTGTGGTGGCAGAAAGAATATGGTCGGAATTCGAACAAATCTTACTTGACACAGAACTGGATCAGAAAAGCTGCATCCTGGGGGCACAGAAATCTTCCCCAAGTTGCTGTCATATCATTTCCCCTTTGCCGACCTCCCTTCCTGTTTGGCACCCTTTGCCCTGCATGTTTGCCTGACAGTCCCTGCCACAGAGTTTTACCTATTGCTCTGTTCTTTATCTCAGGATCTATCATCTGGCTGCAGCCTGCTGTGTGCTACTGCAATTGGAGGGGTAGCTGTGGAGATGCTCCATTCGTGGAAAATAATTTTCCTACATCCTGCCAGACCTGGGTAGGGAAAATTGTCAGTATCGTTTGTAATTTCCTTTTCTTTACCCCTTCTGTAATTCACAGTCAGTCCTGAAATCATAGAAATATGATACCACTTATAGAGACGCCAATCTGCTGTTATCACTGTGGATCAGTTTTGACATCGATAGTCTATCAGGTACCAGATCTTGCTTTTCAGAGACAGCCTACAGAGGTAACACAGAGGCTCCTGAAGTGTTGTACACCATTGTTTAACTGAAGGAAAGTAATTGTCTCCCAGATCTCAAGCAGGATTCCTGTTGTAAAGAGCCACTGAGCTACTTGTTAAATAACTGATTGCATAAAAATGTGAATCTCAGGGCTGATTATGATAACATTATTACTGATTACTTTAGTTAACAAAGCCAAAACCTGCTATCGCAGTTGTTAAATATGAAAGTTGTGGCAATTAATCAGTATATTGAAGGCAACAGTAGCCAAATTTCACAAGAGTTAAGCCAGGAAGAAAAGCAAGACATTAAAATTCTGGATATTCAAATCTTCTGATATAGCAACACATTTAAACAAATATAGAAGGAATTCCACCTACATCCTTAGAATTGCATTGGATAGACAGCCAAATAATAGCATGTTTGAAGGAGTGAAATTAAAATTATTCAGTATGTTATTATTATTGACTAAAAGGCTTTAGAAAAGATCCCTTCTGTGTATCTTCTATTTTTTGCCACCAATTTTCATACAGTTACACCTGTACTTTCAATGTTACATTTTCTTCTCTTGATCTTTTAGACAAGAGGAATTAGTACTGAAAGATCATGCAGCAAAAGCTTTTGAAGCTCACTTCTTAGAGGTAAGACAGATTCCTGCCTCCCCAGCTGCTGCTTTTTGGTTGCCAAAGACTGGTCTGTTCTGCAAGGCTTCGCCTCAACGCCACTGTATGCCTAATATAGGCCTTGAACTTGCAGACTATTTTGATACAAATTAAAAACTGAATTCTTTTAATTATGAAGGGGATAGTTTTCTTTTATTTGCTCATCAATTACTGCCAGTTTCCTTGTGCAGGTCAATGAATGGTTTTAGTTTATTTCATAAAAATATTTTCTGCCATTTGTGAAGAAACAGTTCCAACTTACCTAAGTTTTGTTAAAAGCTGGAGGTCTCACTACCAAGCATGACAGCAAGATGTATTGCTTATTGCTCATTCTAGGAGTTTGTGTTTTTCTTGTAAATAGGTCAATATATATTCTTGGTAAATAATTACGACAATGAAAAACAGTTTTAGGGACTGATCTTGTAAAGCACTGGTGCACTGAGACCCTATTTTCTGCGTTTATCCTACTGTAAAAACTAGTTATGGAGCACTGTATTTAAATATCTGGTTTCAGTGGGTAGTTGAGAGCAAGGAATGAAAGGGATAAAGGATAAAATCAGAAAAGTATGTAGTTCAGAATGGTTGGTTTTGGTTTTGATACAGACTACAAAGTTTGTGTTCCTTGTTTTAGAGGAAGATCCATGGAAGATTAGTGGAAAATATTTTAAACAACAGGTAGAAACAGACAAGCACTTCCAGTCATTAGGAGGGGGTGGGCAGTACCCTCCAAGCCAAGCAACCAAAAGTTAATGCAATTACTAAGTATCAAATGTAGAGCAGAGAGACTAATTTGATCAGTGAGGCTGAAGGGATAATTCTTGGAGACAAAGCAATGCAATGCGGAAATGCAGCCTAATCAACTGCTTCATCAAAAGAAAGAGGAAACAATTTCCAAGCCTTAACTAAAATCCCCAGTTGGTTCTTCATCTTTCCAGGGTTCTGGTTTTTGCATTGCAGTGTATGTTCCATCTCACAACATTTGTTTGTCTGCTTCTGTTCTCTGTGCAAAACTGTTTTGTTGGCTCCTGGCTCCTTTATCAAATGAGCCTCCTCCTCCTTTCTTGCTTTTCACCAATGAGCCTAATCATGAAAGAGTGCACGGAAAAGGAAGTATTTATTATATCCAATGCCCAAGTCTCCTTTCCATAATCATGTGGAATAGCGGTTGAGGAAGAATAGCTAGATTTGCCTTGTGGCTGCAGGATTTCTTGAAGCACACACTTGTTCCATCTGATGGAAAGCATCTGCTTGCTGATCTCTGCTAAGCCTTCCGCATAGCCAGGAACCTTACAGGTTTGTAGAGAAACAGAGCGAGAATTTGCCAGGTGCAACACAGTGAGGGAGAGACTATTGCAAAAAGCTATTCCGACTTCTGCTTTCATCTAAGCAGGTGCTGCTGTTACAACAGATAAAATGAGCTGGCAGAAAGCAAAGAAGGAACTTACAGAAGAAAGCATAGGAGATGGGAAACACAACCGAAAGAAGCGGGAGCGAATATTTAAGAAAAGATTTTCTGGACTGAGTTTCTTCTCTGGGTCTCGTAGGAATAAACTGTAAGTACATCTGAGATTCTATTTTGTGAACTTATTCAAATGAGAAATTTATTTATAAATATTTCCAGTGCACCTCAAAGAGCCAGAAACACCTTTGTATGTTCTGCTGTATTAATAGTTTCACAAACAAGGAAATTGTTACAGGCTAATTCACACTTCATCTGAACAGTAGCAAGCCACTCACAGACGTGTGTATGAATTTAAGGTCTCCAAGTTTTGTGTATCTGCATATTCTTCTTTTAATCATTTCTTACGACTCCTCTCCCCATCCAGTCAAGAAATTTGGAGGGGCAATATCCCCGTATCTCCACATACATTCTAGCTGCCCAGGGCCATTTCCAGAAAGAACAGGTTTTGTTGCACCAAATAAGTAACTCTAGCTGCAGGGTGCCACAAACAGCAGCAAGGCAGCAGCACCCAAAATCAGTGTTGAAAAGTTACAGCTACCAAGTCCTACTGCATATCTTCCTACAATAGTGTCTTTGTGCTTGCTGCTTTTTGGAGGAGGGATTAAAAAAAAGACAACTAATGAAAAACTATTCCTTTTATCACCATGTGAGCAAGGAGTCGAAAATGTACTAGAGTTACTGCTCTGTGGTCTGTTAGATTTGAGATAGTTCCATCATTCTGATGGGATTTGAAATTCTCTTCTTGAGTACTTATGTTTGATGCTACTTTTCCTTAACAGTAGGCAAACGTAGTGTATGTATCATGATAAAATCTTAAAGTGACTTTCCTCATCCATTACAAAAGCTATTTTCTATGCAGACCTCCTAAAAAGAGTCTGTCTTTGCTAATGATCATGAAATTACTGTCTTAGCAGGAAGTACACGCAAGTCGCAGCAATTACTCAGCTAACTACATTAAGTTTGACAGTCACAGCAACTGGTTACAAGCTTGATATAAGATTAAAATAAACAGGCCAGAATAAAGAATAAAAGAATGAAGAATAAAATAAACAGGCCAGAGATGGTTCTGAGAGCCAGATTCTTTTGATCAGTCCAACTGCCAAACAATTGATACCAGCTTATCTTGTTGCACTCATGGGGAAATGGACTGGAAGGTGCAAGGATCGAAGAAGTTAGTGAACTAGAGCTTGAATTGCCTTTATTATCCACGATTCTACTAAAGCATGCATTCTAGAGGCAGATGTCACCTTAAACAGTAAAACCATGCTGTGCAGGCCTTGACAGTAATTTGAAAGTGACAGTTTTTTCCCAGTTTTATCTAAAAAAAGCAATAACACGTTAATCACATTAATGGAAAGAGAGTCTTCAGATTTTACTGGATGTTTTTTGCAGACATATTGCATGGCAATGTTTCTAAAGATTCAGGCCA